TGTTGGTTATTGGCGGATCTTCATACGGGGATATGCGGAAAAGGCAGAGCCTCTACGCACACTTCTTAGGAAGACTGAGAAGTTCTACTGGGATTTTTCTCAAGAACTTGCAGTGCTATCCCTCAAGGAAAAATTTAAAGAAGGGGGCTGAATTCTAGGTGTGTCATTCTTTGAGGACGAGACGGACCGACCGTTCATAGTATCTACGGACGCCGGACCATGTTCGGTTGGGGGATTGCTCTCTCAGATGGACGCCGAGGGCAAGGAGAGACCATTGAGATTCGAGAGCCGAACACTCAACACTACGGAACGCAACTACAGTCAGTTTAAGAAGGAGGTGTTGGCTGTTCTACAGTGCTTAGATACCTTTAGGCATTACATATACGGGAGACGATTCGTTCTTAGGCTAGACCCTACAGCTGTACTACAGCTGTAGCCTCAGTCCTACAGAGGGATTTCAGTTTGACGGATCCTACGATCGCACGATGGCTGATTAGGATTCGACTTTATGATTATACTGTGGAAAGGATTTCAGGGGCAAAGAACGCTGTAGCCGATGAACTTTCACGAATTCCCATCGAGGCAGAGCGACCGATGTCGGTTGCTGCCCTGACTTTGGCCGAGCCTAGACGAACGGATCGCTTCCTAGTCAACCTTTATGAAGTTAAGTACCGCATTATACGACTGCATCTGTCAGGAGAGGAAAGCACTGATTTGGACATCCGGAGACAGGCGACACAGTACTGTCTTAGGGCTGGGCATTTGTTTCGTCGACCTGTAGGAGCAGGAATATCTCTCGGGTTATAAGCGACCCAGAGAAAAAGCAGTCCATAATAGCTGAGTTACATGACGGTGTAGTCAGAGGACATAGAGGAGTAAAAGGTACATATGAGAAAGTTCGCAGACTATATTGGTGGGAAGGACAGTACAAGGATGTTGAAAAGTACTGCGAAACTTGTGAGGACTGCCAGAAGAGGTCTCTTATCAGATATAAGGAGTCACTTCATCCTTCATATCCTACTAGACCAGGAGAGAAAGTGCATATTGATCTGGTGAAAATGCCGAAGGGTGTAGGGAATATGAACTATGTAGTCAACATCAGGGATGATTTCACTGGCTTCGTCGATGGTAGGCCTATCAGGACGAAAGCAGCGAGAGAAGTTAAGAACTTCGTCCTGGAGTATCTGTCTAGATACGGATGTGTTAGTAAGATTGTGATGAATAGAGGAGCAGAGTTCCTAGCGGACGAGGTACAGAGCGTATTTAAGAAAACTGGAGCTAGAGTATTCATTGCTACTGCCTATCACCCTCAGTCCAATGCGCCCGTAGAGCGGGGCCACCAGTCATTGATAGCATTCCTATCCAAGTGGTGTAGAGGAAAGGATAGCGACTGGCCGAAGTATTTCAGATATGCGATTTGGGCAGACAATGTCACAGTTCGAGCCAGTAGAGGGTACCCGCCTTACACTCTATGGTTCGGGAGGCACTGTCCCTTACCCATAGAGTTTCATGTCGACAGTTGGACTATGGTTAACCGGGCAGATAACATGACTCGGGAAAAGTTACTAGCCGCTAGGACCAGGCAAATAGCATACAAATTGGAGGATAACCTCGTGACTGCGGCCAATCGACTGGCAGTAGAAAGAGAAAAGAACAACGCAAGATGGGACAAAGACGTCAGAATCAAAAAGGAAAAGATCAAGGTCGGTGATATGGTGCTTCTCTACGACGACGCCTTGGAAAGAACATGGACTGGGAAACTGGCTAACCGAGGGATGGGACACTATCGTGTAGTTGGTATGTTGAGTTGGGGAGCTTACATAATTGCTGAGCTAGATGGGTCAAAGTGGAAGGATCCTGTGACGGGAGCTAAACTGAAGCTGTTTAGGTCCAGGGAGGCTCCTACTCCTGCGCCGAGACCGTTAGATCCTAAAGGAAAGGCTAAAGCTAAGATGGTAGACGGAGGACCGCCAAGACGGTTCAAGGTAGGTGAGAGTTCTAGAAAGACGAAAAGGGTTGAGACCAGGAAAGTGAAGGGCCTAACGCTAGGTAAGAAAAGAAAATGGGTTTTTGTTCTACAAAGACCTAAACGCAAAGTCCGCATTAGGAAGGGTACAGTTGTTGTCACGCGGGTTTCCCAACGAAGTAAGAAGCAAAGACATATTTCGGTATCTAAGTCCAAATGGCAGCGACGCAAGAGAGGGAAGAAACACCCTCTCAGCCCCATAATTCCTGATAAACCAGGACGCCAGACAGACAAGAGGAGGCACTCGCTTCGAGCGCGAGTGGTCCATTTAGACCTGGTACGTTTCGTCTGATCTTGGCAGAGCGGGCTCGACGGGGGCGTCGAGAGGAAGTCCGGGCTTGTTTGTCGGGCGACCGAAAGCCAGTTGATCGCCCTAATACCGGAAGATTGACCCGTATAAAAGTTGTCTGAGAGGAAATTCGTCGGGAGTCTTATCCGACTGGCTGGGAAAAATTAGGGGTAGCCAGGTCACCCCTAATTTCGGATGTGTCAACCGTCAGAACCAGCCCTACAAATAGGCGAGAGGGACTACCGCTTCGCCGCCCTCACGGCTACCTTATTGTATACCTCATTTCCGCCCGCTTTAGACCCGTCTTCGAAACGACTGGCTGCGGGGCGGTAAATTGAGGATAAGCCTTGACGAGGCCCTTTTACGGTGTCTAACGGGCGCAAGGAAAGGGACCCCACATTTAATATAATTTAACATTAAAATTAAAAATGGAAAAAAAAAAAAAAGAAAAAAAAAAAGAGGAAAAAAACGGAATATTCATTGATTTATTTAAAGTCTTCGATATTTAACTTTTAATATGATCGCCCTAAATTATTGAATTTTCTGACAATAAAAATTCAAACATGAAAAATAATCAAAAGCAATAAAAGAGAAAAGAAACAAAGAATTTTCGTTATTCAATTGGATTTCGTCAGAATTTATTTTCGACAGGATTACCCTTATTTTTGTTATTTTCGATAATCGAATTAAAAAATATGAGAAAGAAATAAAATGATAAAAAGGAAGAAAGGAGCCATGATTATCGGGAGATCGGCATAATTTTACTTCATTTATCCGCAATCGGAATTACTCCCCGATTATTTGTTTACTCTAATTCTGATGATTTCCGCTATATTGCGATGATTGGGATTTATACGCACGACTTACCTGATTTCCCTGATTTCTACCTTTACCGTAACCTGTGTGCTATGAGTGCGGGGTT